TCTTTGCAGGTGCAGGAAGTCGCGGCTGCTGATGTGGTATGGTATGCACATACAAGACCTTCAGGAGAAAAGAGAGGTTGGAAATGGACTCCTCTACCTATCTCTGTATGAGTTCTCTCTTCTGCTTTATACGGCGTCTACAAGTACATATTGCCCAATATCAGCATTTTTAGGCTTTTCGAAATTCTACACTCTCATCGGAGGTTAACGTTTCAATTGATCCAACTTCACAACTACAAGTACGTAGGAAATTTGAGATTATCTATTGTAATTATTTTAATATATTTTTATGTGCGTCTGGCTCTCGTTTATCGCAGTCGTGTGGCTGTGTCCCGGGTGATCACCTACCAACTACCGCTTCGAGTTGTTCCAAGCAGGATTGAATTGACATCGCAGCTCCAGCTTTCTAATGACAAAGTCGCCATTTGCTGGAAGGGAGAGCCATCAGTGGTTAGTGAAGCTTTGTAAAAAGTTCTTTAGTATCTGCTGAAGTTTCACTACAGTAGAAAAGATTTGTCTGCACTTTTGGCCGCAGTGCAGCAAGTTCATTCGTCTCATTTAAACACAATAACTTGTTAGGTACAATTCAAAGTATCGTTAGCGACATTGGACGGCAACTCGCTATTCACGGATACAACCGACAAGAGGTAAGCTTGGCACTATGCTGAATTTGACAGAGATTGAGGCTGACGAACTCTAACATCAGTGCCACTTGTGATCTCAATTTTTTTTTGTAACAACTGCATCATTCATTAATCTTAGTCTATTTCTGCCATAGCAAATTTTTTTCAGATGTTATTTGCTGCAATCCTTATCCAAGGAAAATTGCTGCCGAGTTACAATCATGGATGTTACCGCCGAAGAGCAGGGTTACTCCACCAGCGTTAAATTGGATCTAATGCAGCCAATAGGTCATTTTAGGGCCATTAAGTGAAAAATTTTACCACGATAGTTGTGAACCACTTTTTGACTTAGCACACACTATATCTACAACTCAGTACTGATATGGATAAATGAATATAGTAGTGATGATATTGTTCGCTATATGAAAAGCCTATCCGTCACCTATAATTTGATTACTCAATAGGATTGCAATAGAATTCACATTGTAATCGAGGCACATTTGAGCATCACCATCGGACGAAGAGTCTCAAGCAACAACTCGTCTAATCTTCTCAACGGGATCAAAACTGCTACAGCTGCGTAACGTTGATGACTATATAGTGTCTGAAGAGCCGTTATCCATTCCCTTCGAAGTTCCAGAGGGAGAATCCATCACAAGTACTAAATTGACATAAATACAATTATAATGTTAGGAACTTTTGCATTCATTTGTTGATTTGATTTCCAGGTCTTGAAGCGATTTCATCTAGCTCCCTAGTAGTAGGAAGCAGTCGTGGTTCTGTATGGTTGCTATCTTTGGAGTACAATGACACCACAGTGTCGACAACGCCCAATGCCATTCGGCAGGCGGATGAAGAAGGTCATGCTGTCACACAGATAGAATATGGTATGTTCTTTAAGAGAACTCAGTGCTAAGGATTAACTGCACTATTCAGACTTCATGCAAAATGCCATCTACGTAGTTTTGTCCGATAAGGGTATTGCGCGTTGTACTTTGAAAACTCCCACGTGTTCGTTTGTGACAAACGCTGATTCACTTAATCCTACAAGAAGTATTGCAGTCGATAGCGTTAATGGGTTGAGTTTCTTTTCCTTTCATATGAATATTATGCAAGTTTATAAAGAAATATTTGCAGCTTCCTCTATCTCCTTGGCGCGGATCATCAAGTTTATCGCACTGAACTGTTTCCTTTTGAAGTAGTAGAAAATTACAAACTTTCAAATGTTGTCCCGTTTCCAGGTACTGTTTTGGCAATATATTCAAATTTGCTTTACGCTGAGGACAAACTTCTCACTCTTCCATTCAGATATTCCTCTGACATCGGCTATTGAGATCGATAGGGATGAATTTCAGTTACTTGCAGC